CAGGAATATCAGGCAGGTAGACGAGTCCACTCAGTTAATAAATGCATAGAGCACCAAGACTACGCAGTCCTTCGAATTCAGGTGGTAGGTTTCACACCCAGACCGTCGAATTGCCAGCTTGTGGTCAAAAACCGTCCCTTATCACTCACTATGGAGATTTAGTCCTCGGAGCAAGTTTAGCTGAAAGGCTGAAGGACTCGAGTCTCGATGCTTCAAACAGATTTGCGAACATGAGTTTTTCAAATACAGTAAAGGAAGAGGGTAGATTCCAAAACAGTCCATAAAATTTAGTTGCAATGCTAAAAAATACAATGGTTTCCTCCACCTAAGGCGTAAAATGTCGCGTAAAATAATGTGCAAATAATCACGCGCCATCGCCAAATACAATTCAAGACCTTTGACTAAATTGTGCTTTTGATTCGCGAATAGATGTGAAGCATTATGGCTGCTCATTTTAAAATCGAAGAATTCTAAGAACATTATTCCGAATCTCCATAAAATCGCGAATAATAAAGATCGTAACTGAAACAAACGCACTGATAGAACTTGAAACGTTTTATAGTTTAATGTTTATGTAATTTGCAGATAGATTAACAAAAAAAGACAACGTAACTAACAACAGAAATACATGTATACAGGAAAATTTTTGGGATAAATCATCAACGACGAAGAAACAATTTATAGCTATTTATTGCATGCTGAAATAAAGTGGTTAAGTGTACAATGCTAGCAGAATGAAGATAAGCTAAAGTGCTAAACGATGCACAATTATTCTTTCATTAATGTTTACAGTCAGCACAAGCGCCGCCACACTTGGCTAAGTTGACTTGTACACAAAATGCTGTGCGTGGCACGTCACGTTTCAAGCGATGCAAAAGTCACTATACCCGAGTGGTGTACCGTCGCAAACATACCTTAATTAAGATAATCGAATAGATTAACCAATATGTCCTAAAATCTAAATCAACACTGAGCACATTCAAACAAAACTAACTTATCTTTCCGGCAATTAATAATTTGTGAACCGTCATTTTAAATTAAAGTTAGTTGTCACGGTGACTCGGATTGTCATGACAGCATTTCACGCTTCGCTGATCTGAATCGATCCGTGATTCCAGGACAGAAGCGGCAATTGGCGCTCGTCTGCTAGGTCTCTATATCGACGTCTCGCGCGCACCACGCCGGCTGATGAAATAGCGCTGCTCACGGCGTCATGTGCCAAAGGTCATCGACCTGTGCTTCACTCTCAGTGTTTTCACATACCAGATTTTGTGAAACCAGACCACACCAGATAAGATGATTGATTACCAGACCAGACTGTGAAACCAGACCAGACCCTTTTCACATACCAGACTTTCAACAGTAATTTGTAAAAATGCGTACACCAAGTTCCCAAATGCGCATCCGCGACTAAATTTTATATCGACTATAGTCTGCGACATTCAATCTATAGTTCATTATAAAACTCGATTTTTATAATCAAATTACTCCCATAAATGAAGCTCACATGAATTTTCGTCGTGAATGCATCGCATCAACTACAATATCTCATCGTAATTATCGTTGATTGAATCACGACTGTTTCGATCACATAACAAAAATTAGGATCACTTAAGAACACATCACATAACTTCGAGCAAAGCAACGACGAAACGTGTCATGTCGTAGGTCAGTAGCAATGATACCCGCCAATTCAGGAACGCGACATGGCAGCTCAACTCGCCAGACGACGACAGAGCTGTTGGCCGTTGAAATGCTTGAGCTTCCGCTACTCTAAATTTAGCTACTTTGCACGCGGCAGCGCGAGTACTCGGTTTACGGCTCACGTTTCCGCGATTCACGTCTATACCGCAACCCTCGCGCCACGTGTCGATGACGACACGTGACGTACGATATTCGAAATACAATACGTGAAGAGTACTAGAGTACGATACGTGTAGAGTACTGAAGTACGATACGTGCAGAGTACTAAAGTACGATATGTGTGGAGTACTAGAGTACGATACGTGTAGAGTTTTGCAACACAATGTAGGCTTTTAATTTTGCCAGATTAATTCCCATACAGAATACGTGTATAAATTGCTTCATTTATTTGAATAGTCATCACGCGTTCCTCAGTCTTTTTCATCCCCGCGCTACGATTTTTTATCATGAATAATTTGTTATCGTTTCCCTGTGTCTTCAAACTTACCAATTCTCATAGCTATCAATTTCACCATGCACGTTCTCCACTTCGCTTTCCATTTCGTCCGAGGGCTCAATCTGGTTCGTTTAATTCCTGCTTTTCCAAGACGTACCCATCGTTCATACTATTTAATTCATCAACTGCTCCCTTTCTACGTCACAATCTTCTTAGACATCTCCACTAACCGAGTTCTTGCATCTTTTTCCGTTCGCTCTCTTCCTCTAAAAGGTCATTGAAAACAACGCACGTTTCTCAAATCAATATCGTCTTCATACCATGACCTTTGGAAGTTTCCCTGGTCATATCGTACAGACTTCTCTTTCCAAGATGGAGGAAAAGAGAGGCTCTCTTTCCTCACGTGGCCCGGCTTCGTCCGTCCCACGCAACCAACAATCGATCCTGGGCCGCCCATTCCATGGCTGAGCCTACGTCCCCACTCAGCCAACTCAAAGGCTGCGGCGCCCAGCCACTTTCAACTACCATGAGTGGCCATGACTAAACGTCAGGACTGGCACTTCTTAACACCGTGACTAAGCCCCAAGACGAACACTTTCTGTTATGTTGACACTTCAATCTCTTGAACGGAGCATCCTCCTCGTTAAATTGTCATCACGGTTAGTAGTGCTGTTTTAAAAGCAAAATAGGCTCATTAATAGTTTCGATACGCAACTCTATTTCACTAACACTTCGCATTACTAAAAACAAACAGAAATGTTTGTTGATATGAATTTGAAGGTCTGAATGACATAACGATCCAATAATACTGGGAAATCGGCAATTGATTTTAAGCAAGTCAGGCTGTCGCAGAGATGGGGACTGCCACTATGAGAATGATGGCGGTGATCATGGAAATGATGGATAGTAGAGATTTTACATTTATTTCAACCTGGTGATATTCAACTTAATTAATTGCTCATATTGAGGTTGGCCCCATTGTTGAAGATGCAAGGTAGCTTGCAGATAGATTGACAAAAAAATAGATCGACGAAAAAAACTAACATAACTAACAAGAGAAATACATGTAATGTATAAAAGGCAAATTTGGGGATAAAACATGAACAACGAAGAAACAATTTATATTTATATCGACAAACCTTCGCCTCTTGTATTATTAGTTGCAAATGCACACCAGTTTTTAATATTCTTTCAACCGTAGCTTTTTGGGCAATAACCGTATTTATATATCGTTGGTATACGTCAATAACGAGGAAAAACTATTCTACTGTATTAAAAAAAGTTGAATTTACATGAAAAACAATGTAAACATAAATCCACGGAGTACAATAAATACAAAAGTTTTTTTTTAAATAACTTCTAGAATTTAGATTTGACCTAGGCAAGAGGTCAAAATATTATGCAATCAAATAGACACACACCTATAGGAAATACAATACATTCTCATATTCACACTCCATGCTTTACCCATCTCCAACAATTACGAGAAAAGGCGCAAAAAAACTCAATAAACGGTTAGTGCCAAAAAACTATGGCTGAAAGAATAAGAAAAACTGAAGTGTATTTGTAACTAATAATACTGGAGGCGAATGTTTGTCGAAAAAGCAAGTTAGGTGTGGGCAGCTGGCGGGCGAGGACTCGCGAAGCCGGTAGCGGTCTCACGCGCAATCAATACCTACGGAAGTAAAGAAAGTCTATGCGACTTGTATCGAGTACACCGTGGGAAATAACAGTAACTAAATCGTGGCGAATTATTACAGGAAACATTGTTAAATATTTAGAATTAATCTAAACAAATATTATGTTTGAAGAGAAGTAGAAGTTTTAAACTACCGTAGCACGATTCTGCGCACTAGAAGCCGCGGATAAAGTACGAATAACCTAATACGAGATAAATTGGTCAATAATGCAGCTTAAAAAATCTCGACAAGCGATGGATAGCTGAATGGCCGCTGTCGCAACCTTTACTCCAGGCAGAAATAGAGGCACCACAGCTGGATAGATAAATCAAGCACGCGTTTCGGTAAGGCAGCATCGCTCGGTGCCACCGTGCCAGTAGGGGTAAAAATTACTGGGTCACAGTTACTTTCCTCCTCATCACATGATCAAGCTTTCGGACGATGGGAAGTATTCTCCAAAATAAGTCGGTAATCGGTATCACAATTAGCCCCGGTAAAGCGGTAATCACTTGAGTGATTTTCTCGTCGGCAATTGAAGAAGTCCGTTGCAACCGCATAAACCCAACTTTAATGATATACCTACATTTCATTATCACTAAATTCTTATCAAAAATTAAAATATCTAGAGAACACCATTAATGCGAACCATAAGTTCCCAGGAAATGGTCCGATTTTAGGTACCTAGTAGGTAGGCTATGTTCGATCGGGGGACGAGCTGTACATTTATGATTTAGGTAAGCCAACAATTTCAGTACCTACAAAACATTCATTTCATTTTCGAGTTACATTTTGTTAATGATGATCAACGACAGAACTTCCAACTAGGTAGGCTAGTATACTACACATCATCGACCCAAATTTGTATTTTATTACACCATTGATAAATTATAATCTTACAAGTTACAAGTGATCCGAGGAGTCGAGGACACTTGTTGTATGAACTATGATTTATTATGAATCAACAATAAAGGCCAGCCATTCCAGTCAAATACTAAATTAATTGTTCGGAAAAGTTTCGATTAACTTTATTACTCGCGCAATAAATCCCTATCCCTGTACTGTAATTTGCACTAAAACAAGTTTCCGTTATTTAATAACTTACAAAGACTATCGCATAGTAAAACATACTATGAGCGTTACCCTACGTTATTTATTACCCAAAACAGAACAACATTACTCACGTATGCACACAGCAGCAAGCAACCGCATGGAGACGTCCGGAGATTCACACGTCGGGAAGAAAGGTTTGAGGGCATAAGCACTGAACGTGAGAGCCACGATGGTTTGTGAACACGGCCGCACTATCAAACACTCGATCCACAGCCTCATAAAGGCCAAGAAAGGTCCAAAAGTAACCATGATGTACGCGTAATCAGCGCCAGTTTTCTGAATCATGCAGCCCAGTTCGGCATAACAATACGCGCCCACCATGGAGAATACCCCGCTTAGTATCCAGACTACGAGCGACATGCCGGGGCTGCCGGTGTGAGCCAAAACCCCAGTCGGTGAGATGAAAATCCCAGACCCAATGATACTACCTACTATGACCGTGATGCCGTTCATCAAAGTCATCTTAGGTTTAAGACCTACACAGTCATCATCGTCGACTGATGCGTCTTTAGGTTTCATTTCTACTGCTTCTGAAGTGGTGGCCACTTCGGCGTATTTAGCTCGCTTCTCTGTCATGTTGGCGGCGGAGATCACTGAGACGAACCAATGCCTTCAGCGGTTAAAGCCACACTGATCACTGACTAGTCACTAGCGGCGCTGCTACTGCTGCGGTGCTGCATGCATGCATCTCTCTAGCTTGCCTTTCTCATCCCTGACCCCTTCTGTGGAATATAAACCTGCCCTCCTCTTGCTTCTGCCGGCAATGCACACAGTGGTACGGCTTAACAATGTAATGTACTTGTGTTATTATTTGTTGGATAATTTCAAAATGGTGTATTTTCTCCACGGTCCATTTTATACTAATAATGTACCGGCAAGGGAAATTTGATTCTTCACTTCTGTGTACGTGCATAATGATGACTATCCTAATTGTATAATTGGTATTCATAGAATGATTGAATTAATTTGTATGATTATTTACCTGGTGTACACCTTCACAATGGTGTACTTGGTTTTTAATGCAATCGCTAAATATCAAACCTGTAAATAATTTGCATGATAGTGTATTTATTCATTTATATGATGGTGTATTTAGTAATTTACCTCATAAGGCCTTTACTCGATGATCAATTTACTTCGGAATGCACTGGTATGACAGTATACATATTTACCTCAAAATGCACTTTCATAAAAATGCATTTACTTGATAACGCACTCGTATTATGCCTTTTATGGTGTGTCTGCCTGAATATACCGGTATACGAAGTTACGGAAGTAGCATATTCAGGCTTAGAGCGTCTTTCCAGTGTAATAAATCTAATAATTCCATGTTTGCAACAGCACTCCGGTAGTTTAATGAAACATGAATCTACGAACACATTTCGTAAAATTTCCATGTGATTTACACCTAACAAAATTATAATCATATTTTTATATCGGTGTCATAACAACAATACTTTATTTACTCAGTCAACACGTTTGGGGGGGGGAATTCTTGAAATCACAGGACGCATTTTTCTTGATAACGAAGTTTTCTCTATATTTAAATAACTCATAGCGTTCTCAGGCAGGAATTGATGTTTTTTTATCCCGGCTTTGAATCCAAAAGCTATGGTGAAATACATAACAATTGCTAATAACTTCAAGCGTTCTCATGGAAGAATAGATAAGTTATTTATCCCGGCTTTGAATCCAAAAGCTTTGATGAAATACATAGCAATTGTTAATAACTTCTAGTTCTAGCATTCGCAGGGAAGAATAAATACGTTTTTATCGCGGCATTCGATCCAAAAGCTTTGATGAAATACAAAGCAATTGTTAGTATTTATTTTATATAACATTAATAGTTTCATGATTTCATGCCACCGGCTTCAAAGTTTTAAGTTATAAAAATTTAACCATGGCGCTACATACAGCACCTGCAAGGCAATATATAAGTCCACGGTTATTCGGATGATTATTTCGGTAACTATTTAAACGCATCACTTCTCAAGTTCCCACATATCATGAGTCGTTTTCGGAATACTAACGAACATAAAACTGTCAGGAGAAGGCGGCGCATCAGCCATCATTCAGGAGCGCGCCAGTTTGGGCGCGAACTGGTTACATCCGGCTTGCTGCTGCCAAAGCCTCACCACGTGCCGTGGCACCGGCCTCTGCAGTTTGAAATTTTATGCTATCAGAGGTGTTTAATTAATATATGTGATATAGTAAATAAGTGGCAATCACATCATATGCCCTAATATTTTATTATTGAGCTGTTTTTCTTTTTGTGAGTTTGAGTTATTTTACTCGCTCATTATTAGGTTATCGATTTTATAAGCCTTTCTTGTCGCCTGACGCAACAATTGCAGAAGTTGCAGCAATGGGTGCAAATGCCATCTCTATTTTTTGCTGACGTTTGTACACTGACAGTCACATTCGTATTGTCCTCATACACTTCAGGTTATTATTGGATAATTTTTACATTGCTATACCATCTACTGGTCAATTTTGTTTTGAATATCTACTGAGTAATTACATGTGAAATTTATTATATGTTTATTAGGTACTAATTTTTTTTAACATTTGCTGAAAATGACCTTCTAAACGTTTTCAATAAGTACTTGGGCAACAAGAATCACCATTCTCAATATTCAATTTTTTCATCGCGTTTTTGTCCGTCTGTGTTACGCAACCACGCCCCCCCGACACACAACCATATTGCGCAAACAATTAACAGTCCCAGGTCTATGCTAGACTTTCATGAAGTCAACATGTTGAGCGTAGTTGAATCGTGTTCTGCCAAAATTATGTGGTCAAAAGTCGTAAAATATAAAAAGAATACTCGCAGAAGGAAAAAAATAGTCCAAGTAGTAGTTTTTGACATGGATAAGTTAACTCACAAAAAGTTACTAAATGGTAAGTGAACTCGGTACTTCTTAATCAGTATCTCGTGCTGCTCCCTTTTCTCAAACGATATGTATTATCCATGTGATTAAAATCTCATAAAATTTTGAGATCACTGTAAAACACAAATATGTCGAATATGTTTTTAAAAAGCCTAGAGTCGAATATATTTTCATTATAGATCAAATAAGTCGAGTATATTTTAAAGATTCCGAAAATCACGCAATATATTGTGTAAATTGTCAATATATCTACATTAGACGCTCATTAATATTGTGTAGTAATATTGTCTAATGGATAACGTCTAGATTCTAGAATCGGCTTAGTCATACTTGTCAGTGATACGCTGACACAAAAAATTTGTTCAAGGTGCGCGCAAATGAGTGTTGTATTTCCGTAAAATGAAACCTCGAAGCTTGTCTCATATATATAAATCATGTTTCTGAGCATGATTAGATTATGCTTGTACATCAAGTTCCGATAATGAGACAGAGACATACGTAATACACTAGGTAACTCATTTTTCAGCTTTACAATAGATTTTTTATTTCGCCGTAAGCATATGTTGTTTTTCAAATAGGGCCTCTACACTTTTGCTTGTTGAATTATTTTAGAATTATTTTCTTTTTATATTTTCTGTTCACGCGGAAAAAGTTTTAGTCAACGCGAGTCCGAAACTTCACGCCGAAGGCGGCGGCGGCCCGAAGCCCCCAAAACAGTGTTGCCAGATGGGCCTTTTTCAGGCCAAATTTCGCAAATGTGGCCTTTTTTGAAATGCATTGGCCTGAAAAATTTCATTTGGCCTTTTTGTCCGTTTTGGGCCTTTTTTTATGAAAAATGTAACTCTCGGCTTTTTTTATGATAATTTGGTCCTTCAATTTTATCCAAGACGAGTGCACCCAAATTCAGTTTTGCCCAAGACGAGTACACTCAAATTTTGACACGAAACTGTGTCAACACTTCGGTTTAGGTGGCAACACTAGCGAGTGCCGCCTAATCTAGGCAACACTTTGGTTGAACCATGGGACTATATCCAATTGCCGACTCGTATTAATTAAGAACCATGGACGGCAGAGCTGACAGAGCGTATAATCGAGTATAGTTTTCACGTCTAAAGAGCAGTACATTTAGCGCTATTTTTTTAGGTTACGGCACAGCTTCTCGATATATTCAGCCTTCTGGTGTGAGTCACTTCAAGATATCACTTTGAACAAATAAATTTTATTTCCTATGCAAGTAATGATAGGCAATATATTATTTTCCTGCGCATTCAAAAGTTGTGATAAATTTATAGGATTGACTTTTAATATTTAGATTAGTCTTGCAAGGACCACATCATCTCTATACCGCAGAAATGAGCTTAAATTTTTTCATCTTCCGAGTATAAATATTCTACCGTCAATGCCAACATGTCAAAAACTTCTCCACATGGGTCGCCTGCCGAAGACCACTACTGCCCTGGATGTAATGGGCCATTATGATTCCTGCCTTCCGGAACGTAGCCTTCAACACTTCAAGCCGTCCGTATCTAGGCCGTAGGTCGAACCAGCCCTCGGTCGAACGGCCACTTGTCGCAAGACGATAAATTTTGGAACAGAACTATGCTATCTGAAACCTAACCTCAGATGCGGTGAACGTAAAATTACGTAATTTAATTTTTAATAGCATACTTTAACAAATGATAGGTTTATGCCTATTTGTCACTAACTTATACTACATTTTGCAGATAAGTTTGACTCAAACTCACAGTCTTCTGCTGCTCTGAAGACCCACTCATGCAACTGCTTAAGACCATCTGATGTTGGGAAGCGGGTCATCCTGCGAGGTTTTATTGCCTACATCCGTCAGAACAAGTTCATACTTCTAAGGGACACACATGGCTTGACTCAAATATTTGTAAGAGAACCAACTTAATATTGTTTCAAAAGAGTCTTTATTCTTTACAGGAAGACTTGAACTGAACATTATTGCTTTGTGCCAGTATTCCTATTTCAATGCAAATATTGTTGCCTCAATAGTATTTGCTGATTATAAAAATGTTCTGGAGATAGTATGTGCTTGAATTGACAAAATTTTTTGTGATAAAATGTTTTTATTTTTATTTGTCTACTACCGGTATTCAATGTTATGTTAATTATTCATGAAATGAAACTATTATAAAAACTATGTTTAATTTCATTCTATTGAATATTAGCCATATTTCAAAAAAAGTTCAGAACATTTGCATTGACATTCCCAAAATTCCAGGCTGAGCAAGCCAGCGAATGGAAGGACAAAGACTTGACATATGAATCATACATTGAAGTGGAAGGTGTTGTGAGGGAGCGACCTGATGGGCAAGAAAATCCTGTGAGTCCTAGGTTTATATGATCACATTTTATTGTAAATGAGAGGTTATTTCAAATAAAGTATAATTCCTCCAAATTTGTCTTTAGCAAGCTAAATCTACTATGAGTTCTATATTCTATTCTCTGTTTTTTAACTAATAGGTATCTATCTGCTTCTGCCATAAGTTAGTATTCCCAAAGCACAATTTGAATAGTTCTCCATTTCTTGTTAGCTAAGTATTTTCATGCATGTTAGATTGTCATATGTATGTTGCAAGCCATCCACGATAATTTCATTCAAAGTTCAATTGTTCATATATCCTGAAAAATGCTTATTCAAGACCACTTTTACTTTAGAGTCTTGATACCGGTGCCATTGAGGTTGAGGCTCAGCGCCTGACTGTACTGAGCCGAGCATCCGAGACATTGCCTTTCCACATTCGCCCTCACAACATGGTAAGTGTAACAGTATATTCAAAATATAAACTGTTTCATGATATTTCAGTTTTGGTTCAAGTTATTACTTCTATGAATTAATGGTAATAGCAGCATATTTCAATTAATTCAATGATTAATTATCCATAATGATGAAAAACTCTGTACCCTGCTTGCAGCCAGTGCAAATTTCTCTGATGTTAACTCGAGAACTCCACCCCTGACTTTTTTAGCATCTCCCTACTTTGTAGCCTTTTAGGGGCTCTCATGTAGTATATAAATGTTGGGAAAGAAACGACTTCTAGCTTTCTGAAGCAAAAGGTATTTATATGGTTGGGTTAGGAGGGCTCTGATTCTATAATAGTGAGAATATCTGTTGTATGGTACATCACTCATGATTGATAACTTGAGATTCTCAAATGTTCTTTTCTATGTAATGCTCCATGAGGGAGGTAGTTTATAGTGTCTGTATATGCCATCCAGTTATACTGGTTTATTAATGGTGCTGTTACCTAGAGCTCCGTTATGCCATTTCATCAACAGCATTTACAGTTGTAGTCTAGTTGTGTGGGTTCACAGACAGTGCTGGTACAGAACTGCTGTCATCTAATAAATTGTCTTCCTTTCACGTGTTTGCTTCATCGCAATAGCAGCCCAAATATCGGTTCTGCAATCTCAAGCACTGCAGCAATGACGCTTGACTGGCAGCCTGCTCTCGCATAATTGGTCCACCCATCTTAGGCTCACGATTCTTGTACACATTGCCTAACGATCAACCCATTGATCAGGGTACTTCTGCTTATCATATTGCTTTTACATTAATAAATACTACAATATGGAATAACTCGCGCATGGATTGAAATGTGTTGTAATATCCCATTTTAAACATTTTATTATTCCAAATTAAAATCTCCATTGTTATTAATTTCATTTGCTTTGCAGCCCAAGGAGTCATTGGGGCTACGTTACAGATATCTTCACCTACGTTTCCCTCGCTTGCAACGCAATCTGAGACTGCGATCTCGGGTAAAGTGCAGCACAATCAATTCCACGCACTATGAATGCTTAAAGCAATCACTGCAGTGATATTTTGCCATAAATATATCTCACATACCTAGTGATGGTAAAGATTTGCAATCATGCAATAATTATTCTGCTTCATTTAATTCTCTCTGATATTGTGTCGACTATGAAAATAAATATCAAATCAAAGTCCTAATTCATATTATGGCATTCAGTACCGCTGTAAATTTCATTAATCCTTCTCTGTGAACAGGTAATGAAGCGCATGAGTGACTTCTTGGAAGATGAAGAAAATTTTGTCAACATCAACACTCCGACTCTTGGACCTTACACTGCAGGCGTAAGATATTATTTAATTTTGATTTATGGTGATCTCATAAGCTGATCATAATTTTATATCTTTTTAAAGTTTCCAGGTAATAATTATGCGTAGGTTCGGCTACTTATGAATCATCAAAAACTTGACTCGCAGTTTGATTTAAAGAGCACGGGTAAATGACCTGATAGTTTTACAGCCATAGTAGTAATGAGACTAATGAATTATAGTATGTGTTCATTCTGTTATTTAGTATTACATTTTAATACCGAGGACATACCGTATGCGGTCAAAAAAATGATTGAAATTAAATTTGCCGTATAATGACAGTGAATTAAATTTTGTTGGTTGACAGGGCGCTCAGCTCTTCATTGTGCCGTACGAAAGCAAGTCAGACAATGCAGGTGAGATATGCTGAGATTTCATTGTAAATAGACTGTATTTTGTGAGCTATTATTATTACCTATATTTTATCATGAAACTATACGTAGTAGAACTAATAATCCATTTAGGTAATTAAATCAGATATGGCTTTAGCATGCTTCATTTCTTCGTTTTTATGAATATGAATCTCATTCAATGAAGAAGTTAAGTCTTCATTTATAAATTTTTAGCAAGTATCCTATCCGTGTTAACTAACAGGTGTGGCATTCCAGAGAAACTAAATGAAGGAAGAGAATACTACTGCCTGAGCCAGTCGCCCCAGACGTACAAGCAGCTGCTGATGCTGGCGGGGCTCGAGCGCTACTACCAGTTCGCCGTCTGCTACAGAGATGAGACGGCCCGTCCTGATCGACAGCCTGAGTTTATGCAGGTCCCACTTTTTCAATTGTACTGAAAAAATAATTTCCACATAAGTTATTTTAGTTAATAGTTTGACGTCATTTTCGGGTAGTGTTTTCTTAAGTTTTCTCGATCCAGTCGTGTTCTGTTGTTAAACTTTTATGTAGTAGATCAATCAATTGCTTGATTTCTAATCTCAAAGGACTCATTATATAAAATTTCTTGCAATGGTACATGTAATGAGACTGTAGAGATGAACTAGGTAATGCATTTACGAGGATTATCCGGAAAGTAGTACCCGTTTGGGAATTGAACAAAAGAAAGTAAACATTAACAAATGTAAACATGTTTATTGAAAAGAACATGTATTACACTACTTCTCTACATAATCTCCAGACAAATTTAAGCGTTTGTCGTATCGTATTACGAGTTTTTGTATACCAGTGTCATATTCCTCCGCCGCCAGTGTATTGAGATACGCAGTCACGTGTTCTTTCAGTTCTTCGTCATTTTGAAACTTTGTCCCTGCCACGAAGTCCTTGAGTTTTGTAAACAGATGAATTTCTGAAGGAGCCAAGTCCAGACTGTAGGGTGGATGGTCGAAAATTTCCCACTTGAATGTTTGGATAAGTTGTGTTATCCGAGCCGTATGCGGCCGGCATCATCGTGCAGGAGAATGACGCCAGTAGACAGCAGACCTCGCCGTCGATTTTGAATTGCCCACGGTAATTTTTTTAATGTTGCACAATATGCATTGGCATCGATTGTGTCTCCACGAGTCATGAAATCGATGAGCAGTGCGCCTTGCCGATCCCAGAAACACTGGCGGCGGAGGAATATGACACTGGTATACAATAGCTCGTGACACGATACGACAAATGCTTAAATTTGTCCGGAGATTATGTAGAGAAGTAGTGTAATACATGTTCTTTTCAATGAAGATGTTTACATTTGTTAATATTTACTTCCTTTTGTTCAATTCCCAAACGGGTACTACTTACCGGATGACCCTCGTACGTCAAGACGTATTTTATTATTGCGACGTAGATATTTGTGTACGAACGGCCTGAGCGGTGTACTAATCCCATCACCATTAAATGTTTTCCTCAATACCCATCTAATTGCTGGAAGATTGCTTCGACACTTATGTAGCCTGCCCTCTATGGGTTCTTACTGCCCAAGAAAATGCTTCGTAGCAGTTGTTGATTCGCCTATTTTGATGATAGCATTTTAATATAGATACAAGTATTAAAATCACTTGTTTGCTTAAATCGCAAGTTAACTAGGAATTTAAAAGCAAAAACAATACCACAAAAATTTACCATATCTTTATAAGAGAAAGCGTTTCGGAGTCCAGCTCCATCGTCAGTTCACAAAATTCAGTTCAGAAGAAGTTCAGATCTAAAAACACAAATACAATCAAATAGTAGAGTAAAAGGCACTGTTAGGTTTTAAAACAGAGAATAAATAAATATGACATGAAATTAACGCTAGTAAACGGCCTATCTATTTACTATTTCAAGAGGAACAGAGCTAAAAGCGGCATTTAGACTAGGCTTCTGTTTGAACATATATAGGGATTCTAAAATGCGTAGATCAGTAACACCGGATGCGGAAGCTAGAATTTTAAAATCATTATCGGATACAGAGGTGTTGCACTGCTCAGCATGAACACGTACAGCAGATTGAGGTGGATGTGCAAGTAGGTTCCCCGTCCTAAAACTCCTGCCCTTATGCTCAGCCAGCCTA